GGTGCGAATAGACGCGGCACTCTACAGCTCTACACCCGCAATTCTAGCTGGACTTACGCTCGAAGAGAGTAGTTGGTTCATAACTCAAGCCTAGTTGATAATAAAATGGGAATAAAAACAAGAAGTGTCCTTATAAATGAAAGGAGGCTCGGGAAGAGAACAGACGAAGCTCAATTTCGTTTTACAATGCGCCGCTCAAAATCGATCACAATCAGAATCGTGACGGTATTTGAATGCCAATCCTTTTACATACATGCATAGATGCGATATCGGATCGAGATTTCTTGCTGCCTAATTAGGCAGCACTACGAGCTACTAACTCCGTTTCCACTCCATCGAGGGATGCAACAGGAATTATGATCCCGTTCAGAGAAAACTTTTGGAAAAATCAGAACAAGATACTTCGAAGTGGAGTAATAGAAGAAAAAAAATTTAAAAAAATATGATTTTTAAAACGAATCAGAATACAGGAATGACTTTCCTCTTGATATCGTCACGTGGATCGAACCATACAATTTGCCCGCTGAGGTTGGATTTTTTCCATCACCACATTGTTATAATTAGTGCTAGGTGACCTGAGGAGGCGCCATCTCATGCTGCACTCATTTGAATGTGTTTACTCTAGGGACGATGTGTTGTGCAATTAGACGGAAAATTCTCACCAACGCAGTGAGCAACGACAAACAAGAGATTATGGGAATTTGCGAAGTTTACTAGAGAGAGTTAGCGAAGTAGTTAGAGCCTTCAATTAGAATATAGCGGAAAATGTTGCGATTAAGACACGTACTCATTCTACATCTGTGGTGATATTGATAGTCTCTCCCCAGTGTAAGAAAAATCAGGATAAAGGAGCAGGGTGCGAAGGTAAAGATTAAGTGTCAGATTAGGGTTTAGTGGTGAAATCGCTTAACGTGTCATAGTTTGCGAGCAATCCGTGTAAAGAAAGTGCCGTGTCCGTAGCCACTCAAGAAAGTTTCAAAAAAGCTTATCACCAGCTGAGAGAGATCATAAGAGCATTCAAGAAAAAGCTTATCATCGGCTGTCGAAGGAAAACACAAAAAGTCACCTCACTGACCGAGAATTTGAATATTCACATTTATGAGTGGTGCACGGCTCGTTCGGACAAAAAAAGCTCTTGGTCACAAATTCGGGGTTGGAGTCGGAATTCCCGTAGCGAGAAAAGACAGCTCTTCTAGAGCAAGTCAGTTACTTCTGTCCTAGCGACCCACACCCTAATGAGTACCACTTCGCGATGAACGTGAATGTTACTAAACGGTTTTGAAGCTAAATGTTGAATGAGGAGATTCAACTAGTACAACCCCACCCCAAAGTGGGATAGGGGCGATGCAGGAGAGGCATTACTGTAGTGATACAGCATGAGCACCAGGGTGTCCGTGAAGTCGCAAATGCTCATGCAAAATACCCAAAAATTCAGGCAAAACTTAGAAAGAACTTACAAGGGAAGGATGGTAGGTCGAAGTGGCCGTTCGAAATGAAATGTATACCTCCTGATGCGTCTCCAGACGCTGATTCCAAATCTGCCTTCCAAATCTGCTAAACGACTCTCCGAACGGAGTTATGAAGCGTAATAGCTCAGTGGTGATGGTCCGGGGTGGCAGGTAAAAGCTCGTAGGATCGGTTCCTTTGCAAGTTTGTTGCTTTGCTTTTGTAAACTTGCAAGAACCGATCCTACGAGCTTTTACCTGCCACCCCGGACCATCACCACTGAGCTATTACGCTTCATAACTCCGTTCGGAGAGTCGTTTAGCAGATTTGGAAGGCAGATTTGGAATCAGCGTCTGGAGACGCATCAGGAGGTATACATTTCATTTTAAACGGCCACTTCGACCTACCATCCTTCCCTTGTAGCAAAAATAATTACCCAAAATCGTAATAAAATTCATGCCCACTAAATTAGTTTGTTCTTCTAAAACACCACTCATTAACCTAATCGACTATCCTCCAAGAGAATGAATAGAGCTCGTTGTTAGCTGGTCGAGGGATCGATGATGGCTCACCCTGTTCCCGAATGCTGCGTCTATGTTCAAAATAGAGGCACACTTAAAAGTTAGGTCATAAATGTTTTTAGTTCAACTATGTGCGACTAATCAGTCCATATAGATCAAGTTGGAAACGATTTACTGAGAAAGTCAGGGAGAAGAACCGAAATCATTTCTTCGTAAATTAAACTTTGAGAAGTGGGCTTAAAGTGATTACCAAGCAAACAGGCAAAGATCATGGATGTCCTGATCCTGTCATAGATTTACAACTGATGGTGTCCAATGTTCCGTATCCTTTCGTTTTTAGTTTTACTCAGAATATTAAAATTGATTCATTTCTTGAAAGGTTTTGCTGTTTTGAATTCTTTAATAGCAACTGACATGCTGGTTCTTCAGCCGACCGTAGCCCTTAGTGTACAGCAAACACAAAACTTACATTGAAGCAAAAAGTACCACAACGTAAAACTAGTCACCTGGACTGCGAAATCCTTTCAGCAAAGATTAATACGCAGGTACCCGATGATACCGAAGGTAAATCGAGTATTCTATCTTCTTGCGAATTCGGTATTCCACAAACAATATCGCGTGCAGCACATCTTATAGCCGTCTCTTTTCGCGACTGCTGCTCATCGCACTAAAACCGTTGTGGTCCTAAAGGTTTCCTTAATTGTTACATGGAGGCAACATTTCTCAACAATTCCATCCTTTTAGGACCGTAAGTATATTTTCAAAAAGGCCTAAAAACAGTTGAAGCCCGCTTTAGTAGTGATCTGGATGTGGTGCTACAAATATAATAGATATAGTATTTCGTAGTCACTCCCAAAATTTCTAAATACCCTGGATTTTGATTGACGACCTATAGCCTGTCAGCGTTTACTGTCACCACTACATCACATTTTTACAACTTATACGACCAATTATTGCAGTTTCGTGCGCGAGATAACCAAGGTTAAAACCAAAGCACTATCTATTCGCAATGAGCTGGTTCACCCCCCCCCCCCTTGCGCCGGCCAGCAGCCGCCCCGAGATTTTTTTTTTCTTTTCCACCGCGCGCCAACCCCGCTTTATTCAATTTATTCACAAACAAATGAATCAGTACAAATAGAGCCAACTGTGTTGACTGAAATAGCGGCCCTAGGCACACATTAAAATCAAAACAAAAAGACTAGCGTCAATGAGAAAGACGACCATAAGTCTAGCATAGTCAATAAACCGGATACAATCTAAACAGATAAAAGAGAAAACGAATACAATAAATGTAAGTCTGGCCGAAATGCGAAAGGCAACCCTTGAGTAAGTGAGGTTTAAGAGGTTAATTTAACAAATGAATTTACAACAAAATGTGAAAATCAAAAAGATTTTGCCGATCAAATGCAATCCGCTTAAAAGGCTTATGATGATCTAAACAATCTAAAGAAACAACACATATTGCAGAATCAGAAATTTGGTAACAATGGAAGCAGTAAAAGGCTTGATTAACAAGCTATAGGGCATGTGGAATTGAGACCAGTTCGAAAGCCTGTTCTCAATCAGAGAAACTGTTAAACGTGAAATGCGACAAGCATTGGATGGAAAACTACGAAATACAGTGCGCTAAATAAATAAACAGGCAAATAAACACAAAATCGCTAAACTAACTCTAATTCGCAAAATATACAAACCTCACGTGGGAACCTAAACAAAGTGCATCTTTGCCAAGACATCTCCTAAGAGTGCGTCAATGGCTCGCCCACATAATCGATTTCTCACAAACAAAAGGGTCGCTCGAAACTTCTAACAAACCTACCACTACACATTCTTCTTCTGTGCAAAAGGATACAACGACTCGGGAAGCGCTTGAGGGAATATCGGACGGATACCTTCCATTTTGAGCACACCCATCGCTCGCAGTAATTGATACGTACCGAATTCCGCTTTCATAGATGGCGACATGACTTGCTCTTACCCCGCCACTCACCGCCCTGAAAACCAACTTTTTTCAAGTTGCTTTCTTATCTTTCTCAGACATGGAAGAACCGATCACAAAAAAGACCGCACTAACAGCAGCCAAACACGGGGTCTAACAATAAGCTGCACAACAGAAGCCTCACTGCCCCCTCCCTATTTTTCCGAAAGCTTCGCTCAGCAGCAAAGAGAAATAAATGTCTGTTAGACTGTTTGCAGAAGCTCTTGTAACAAACCCAAATACCTCTTATCAGACAGAAATTACCTTCAACATTAGTAAATTCGCAGTTTGATGGCATTCAAATTAGAGCGAGCCTCACGAACCGAAAGAGCCTCATTCATCGAGTAAACATGTAGATGATTTGTAAAGCAACTCACACGTTTCCGTTTTCCCAAAAAAAGGGGGGATTGACACAAATGCCGTTGAGCTCTTTGGGCGCATTCCGAGACCTGCAAAAGAGTGTCATTTGTAAGAAATCGATTCAAATGCTACGAGGAAAAAAAACGTGGTGCAGTAATTCAACACACTGACGACAGCGCGGCAAGTATGTATGCCGAATTTTGCAGGCCACATAGGACATTTAGGCAACTACGTATACCGCGCCAATTACATTAGAGTTGGAATAGGAGAAGCTCACAGAATGGTCAAATAATGTTTACGTGTGGCAGAGGTTTCCAAGCCTTTAGCGAATGTCGAATGTCACTTCAGCGCATTCGCAGTTTTCTCTTCATTAAAGAGACACAGGATATGCAAAAAAAGAGCACTATTAGTTAACTTACAACTTTATATTGGATCGCAAGACATATGCTTTTTCTGAAGCAACCGCGTCCAAAACACTTTCGAGGTCAATCAAAAATACAATTGTACCTCAAGATAACTTAAAACGTTGAATGTCGTTGGAAATGTCCATCGAATCCATGGAATGCGTCTTTACGGATACGAGGTGAGCCAGTCGCGCTCGCGAAATCGCGCCGGTTCCACGCGGACAAAAAATTCAAAATGCGTCATGTCGTCAACGAGTTAATCTTTTATGTAAAAAGCAACAATGAAATTACGAGTAATGCAAAATGATGGAAGGTGAAAGGGAAGCTTGTAGATGCACCAACCATTTTTGGAGACTTCGCTTCCTTCTCCTTCTTCGCTTCAATCAAATGGGCCAAGGGCCGCGCCTGAAACGAAATGGATGGATGAAAGGAAATAGTTAATCGTTCAGTCATTGCTTCCTGATGTACTACGAATTCCATTTGCGCCCAAAGTAGCACTGGCATTTGAGTGGACATAATCCAACATGTATCACGAGACAGTTTTTCTAGTTCCCAAAAATGTGCGGAACTGACACGCCGACCCTGGAGTGGCATATAATTTCGATCGGCTTGCACTGGAATTTCCAACTTATCCAATTCCCAAAGGATGAGGTAAGCGTGAGGTAAGAATGCCACTTGCTATTATCGAAGCCCCCTCGCCCCGATTCTCGTTAGCAGCTAATCAAAAAAAAGTAAAGAAGGACCAGCCATGCCCCTTCGCTAAAAAAAAAAACTAAGAAGGCTTCCAATCCACTAGTGTTTCCGAGAAAATAATACAGCAAAAAGAATGTATAAGTGCATTCTATTCAATATGTAGAGTAACCCACCTTTGAACCCTTTCCAACGTAGAAAATCGACGGCACGAAACTTTTCAGATCTAACGACTCGACGTCAACGCAAATCTTCCTAGGATCTAACAGCAGATAGCAAAACGCGCTCACACCAGCTAGTTGGAATTCTTCTCGGACCTGAGAACAAACGACTTACAAAATACGAACGCAGGAGCAACAGGCATTTTTTTAGATTCCTGATGGTTGAAAAGACACGCTTGCATACCTGATCATCCAATGGCTTCCCTCTGTCCGCTGTAGATATATCCAACATCGCCATTTCCAGCTGACGCGAGTATCGCACTCCCTTTACGTTGGCCG